CCCCCAAATAACAACATTCGCGCATGATAATAGCACAAACATACTAAATACATGACGTAGTGACTCTACGCTTCGAATTCGAAGCATCGATGAAGTTTCGTTTCCTCAAATTCACACAGCGCTTGTATTATGTGCACGTTTTTTCCCTGACATTTGTCTGATTTTGAAGCAACTAGAATTTCTCCATCCAATAAATAAATAGCCTACAACAACTTTTAAGCAAAATTTGTCCTTCTAATTTTAGAACTCTGTCGGTTTTCCTTCACTTATAAATGGGGTGGCATTCTTGAATAGTATCATAATAGTAGGCCTATTTTCTTGGGCACGATCATCATGCCATCGTTAGTCTCCCTGTCTGAAGACATAGCTCGTGAGCCCCTTTCTCTCTAATAATATTAAATAAACGCCATGAAGAGTAGGCCTACCGGTACCGTAGATTCTAGTTAGTTGAAGCTGTTTTTTGTTGTCGTTGGTTTTGTGTTCGTTTTAACTTAACTTACTTCTGACGTCATAACTAAAACGGCAAGTGTTTACGGAAGCAGAAACCTTTGCAAACGTAGGCTACCGTCTGTATGTTGTCATTTCTGTGCCTCTCCGTCGTTCTCTTTTGTTAAATCAAACATATTACACGTATCATGATAACACCGGTGCCCTTTTTGTCAGATTTGGCTTTGGTTTTTGCTGTCGCCATTCTTCTTGCTGCCGATTGCCTTTTTTTGCTGTTGCCATAGTCAGTGTATTGTTGTTGATAGTGATAGCCTACCTAATGACGATGGTGATGATGAAAACCCAAAGTACCCCGCCTCATAATCATCCGTGTCAAAAACCAAAGAGTAAAATACATTTCTGTGCTTACTTGAAATTTGAAAGCAGTGGCGTGGGGCGGCGCCAAGTTATCCATCTGCAAGGGTCAAGTACACTCCGAATCAAGGTACTATTACACTACACTACATCTATTTGACGGTGTTGATTTTTTATTTCAATTTGCGTTTGTACATGATGTGTGAGCCAATAAAGTGGCAGAACGAACATGTGCGCACATCTTTAAGTTGGTCGGGAAAAAGCCGAGATCGGTGCAGAAGTGCACTTGGATGCGCAAGTGTGATGCCTTGTTGTTACTGTTAGAAGTTAGAGCGGTCAGTAGAAAAAACATTCATGAGGGCCTACTCTTTTAATCAGACACCGGGTACGAAAAGAATGACAGATTTTAATTTTAATTTTTGGCATGTACGCCAAGTACCTATAGAATGCTCACATGTTTTTCTTTGTTCCAACCTTATCACTTCCTTTATCCGGAACTGACAACATAGGGCATTTTTTAGCCTGTCAGTCAGTGTGTATGTGATACAAAGATAAACGATGCAAGAAGCTAACTTTTCCCAATTTTTCAATAAGCTACATGTATCCTTTTGATGGTGTCGGTCTGGAAACAGCACCACAGAAATCTTCCTCCTCGCTGAATACAGTATTACATGTATGCTACCTTCAACAGTTTATATTTTAAAAACCCAACCATTCAGGCCTTTTGTTTTAGATGTCCAGTATTCATACATTGTAACTGATGACCCATGGCCTGGGTCAGCGATCTGGAGTGATGAAAACAAACTTCATTGCTTTATTTCCCACAGACACTCCTACCTGCGCTCTTTTCTTCCACCTCAGCGAAAGTACAACTCATAAATCATTTAATAAATGTGTCAAAAATGGCTTGTTCTGATACTTTCCAAGTCTGGTTTTGTTAGTTTTTAGTTTTTGTAAGAGTTTTACGGCACTTGCAACACAATAAGGTCATACAAAGATTAGAGGTGTTACAAGAGAGTAACAAACAAAAAAGGAGGAGAGATCAAGAAAATAGAGATATTTGATAATAAAGAAGGAGCAAACCACACCAGAGCACCCACCGACCACCCACCCAAAGCACATCAACACAATATTATGATGGTCATTTAGTAGCAGTAGTGCAGGGAAAAAGAAAGGCAGGCAACAGATGAAAGAGAAATACTAGTATGTCAAGGCCTTCCCAGTGGTGCCCCCCCAACTCCAACCACCTCTACAATAATAAAGGAAACATGGCTCTCTAACAGCCGGTGACTTATAATGGAAGAAGTAACAACCAATTACATTGGCGACAAAAAGAGACACCACAGCAATGGATTTACGGTTGCAACACTGGCTAAAGCACAAACTGTGTGCAGTTGAAGCATCGTGGCAGAAATGTATAAACTTTGACTGTCATGACTTAATCCTCTATCTGTACGTCGTGTTTTACTATCATATCCATACAACGTTGGGAACTCTGTGCCACCACTTTCCAAAGAGGAAATTTACTCATCAGTCCAATCTGTACACTTTGCATAGCAGTCTGTCAAAATGATTTTTTGAGAAATACTGAAAGAAGTATTCTAAAAATAAAAGTGAAGAATACAACCCCGGGGGTACAAAATGAACCCAGGGCGTATGGATAGGGTTAACATCCCCATTACAGCAATCTAAACTAACCCTACTGGCAATATCCACATGAGTCATCTGAACTGAATGGTATACACTATAGCTTAGTTAAGTTCAAAGATAAAAATGAATCTGCCCTTTCAATGAATTAATGCTAAAAAGAAAATACATGGAAGAGCCTGCCAAGAATAAAATAACATTTTTTATTGATCGTCTAAATTGTTTGCTTCAATACAAACAATACAATAAAAAGTGCAGTGAGAAGGATAAAGGCAGAAAAAAGCAATTTATAACTGGAATTCAAAAGCCCAGACAGGAAAGAAAGAAGAGATGAAAGAGAGTACCAAAATTAAAATGTATCCCCTCTCCCATTAACTAGCAAAATATGGTAAAATATGGAATTCCCCCTCCCCAATTAAAATATCACACAAATCAAAACACAAAGGGCAAAAAAAAAGAGAGAAAAAAATTGTCAATTTCAAAAATTTATTGATATAAATCAATTGCTGGCTGCTGTCTTTCTTCCCTACTTTGCCATTTATCTCAAAGCAAAAGAAAAGGGGGATAAATATCAATGATGTAGGAATGGAATTTTTTCTCAAAAACATCAAGTGACAATCAAGTAATTACTTTCCAAGACTGATATACACTTGGTGGCCAAAAAACCATTAGGCAATCAGAACAAGTCTACTGTATACCTTACATTACAGAAAGCTATGTAGACTCTACAAAGCAGACTAGCTGAACAGACCCGAGTTTGGGCACTGAATCTATCGGTGATTCATACTGTCCATTCACTACTGAAAATTCTAACCTGCTTGAAGACTGTCTAGCTATAGCTATCATGTAATGGTCCCAAAACAATATATGGACTGGAGAAACCTGGTTCTACTAATTGCATTGGCACATGTTAATTAGCAATAGGAACAATTTTTTTTTGAGCCAATCCAAAAAAACAACCAAAAAACATCTATTATAATTAACTAAGTCCTAAGAGAATACATAAGAAAAAAGTGAATGCCAAATTGCAACGTGCGGCTTGTAATAGAAGGAAAAGGTACAAACAGTTTACGTGTATGGATAAAACCCAACAAGGTAACTTTTTACATTCACATCACATGAGATCCAAATACAGAAGAAGAAAAAGATTGTGAATGCCTAACTTTGACATAGTGGGCACTATAGAAAGAGGGGTTTAAAAATACTTCAGACCATGGTATCTTTGCAAATATCATTTTTTTTTCTTTTTGAGATTGCGGGAGAATTCTACATAGAATCACTGTATGAATGTAACAAGTAATTTTTTTCACAACTGGAAAAAAAAAAAAATGAAAAGGAATTAGAACTATTTCCGTTTTTAAAATTCACTATGCAAAGGTAACATAAGCATGGAAGTTTTATCACCAGTATTTTCAATGTGGAAATGCTCAAACACATCTCAAGTACACAACACTCATACATTGACATTTATGAAGTATAAATATCAGCAGACAATTCGGTAATGTTCTCACAACAACATTCAACAGTCACTCCATGCACATCACACAGCACAGCTTTTAATGTTTGTGTATGTGTTACAGTTTTAATGAATGAATGTTTCATTCCACAGTCTGCAATCAGTTCCATTCATCACCAGCACACTGGAGCGATGAAGTCCACACCGCTTGATGGAGCAGTTGTTTTGAGCTCTTTTGTTCGCATAAGATGCAGATGACCAATGGTAGAAAAACAATGGAGAATGGAGACGAAGTGATCACACATTCATATCAATTACTTAGATGTCATCATCGTCACAAACTCTGAAAAGAGAAAGAAAAATAGAAACGTTAGAATGCAAGTTAATTCAGATCGCACAAAGGTAGAAATAAAAAGAAAAAAAAGGCAATCCAGAAATGGGATACCCCAAACAGCTGTGACCATCCTATTTAAAACCCAGAAGTAATGAAAGTCCTGCCGCCTGTGACGGAGCCTGAATGCACAGAAATTTATATCATCAAACTGCAGGTTCCACAGTTTGCTAATGGGTTTTTTAAAAAAAAGAAAAAGGGTGTGTGTGTGAAGTGGTGAAGAATAGACAAGCCCATGTTTGCCATTTCATGATAAAACTACAAAGCATTAGACTTCCAGCTAACTTCTCCAATTCAATTATTTCTCTTATCAATTATACAGTTTACTCTAAACAGATGCTTTACCTAACAGGTTTACACATAACATCTCATTTTTTAATTAACGGCGACAAGTGTGTAGTCAGTACTAGTTCTCTGTATAGTATAAAAGGTGCTTGACTTGATGTTTTTATGGAACATCAGATCTGAGGCAACTATTCAGTCACTTGTATACACAAAATAACCAATAACTATAGCACAATATCAGTGTGCGTGTGAGAGGGAGCGAGAGAGAGAGCAGAATCACAAAGAAGCACACAGCATAAAGGTAGGCCTACATGGTGAAATGCACTTCTGAGAAGACAGAAAATACGACAAAACAAAGACCACAAAAGGCACGGATCAGTGCCTGTGTTATGAACTCAAAGAGTGTGAGTGCTGTTGTTTCCCTCAAACACCTTTCTTACGATACACAACTTCTTAACCTCAAACAGTACTAGGGAAGACAGCTACAGTTAAGCAAGCACTTAGTAAAATCCCCATGACGCAGTAATCTTTCATTATTTTGCCGTGGTTTTAGTAAAAAGAATTACAGAGTAGAGGAGAAGGTAATGAGGAAACATTTTTAAAAAAATACTTAAACAAAAATTTAAAAAACAAAATTCTAAAATTTAGTTCACAACCCACAAAATACATTTTCATTGTTCCCCACATCTTTTCATGCTACAACAATCAATACCACTAGCCCTTCAGGAGAGTGATGAACTTCCTTTCCCAAAATACTTTTTTAAACACAACAACTTTACTTTGTAAAGACAAAACACCACCAAATGGAACAATGAAAATGAATGATCCCCCCCCCCGTGTCTGATTATGTCCGCAAAGGAATAACAATGAAATGCCTATATCAAAATGACATTATTTTTCTGTTCAACCAACTCCCTCAATAATGGCCACTTTGGTCTTATAATGTCTCATGTGTTGTTCTTATGTAAATAAAAATCTGAAGAAGAATGATGACTAGGGAATTGAAGATTATTTATTGCAAAAACGAAAACTAGACTGTCAAGCTACAACTAAGATCTCTACTATAAACATCTGAGGTCGCACTTAGCGTGTGTACTTTAACACACTACTACACTCATCCTCACTGCTTATTATGTAAGTTGCATACATGATGCTCACAGCGAGCACTAAAACTTACGCCATACAACACAACATAAGCTGACATTTAAATACAACGGGGGGGGGGAGAGATAGATATATAGATTTGCCAAATTACACACTACAAGCACTCGTATCAGCCCAACAACAAAATAACCCAGGGCAGGGGTAGATTTTATTTTTTGGCCATAATCTATTCTTCAAGGATTGGAGTATTATGGGATTCTCTTGCTAATTTTGAAACCCAGAGTTACTTCAGTATAGTACTTGTAGGTGCAAATCAAGACCAAAATCCCCCAAATCAAGAATAACTTCAGTACAAAATTCTTATTTAATTGAGAACACCCCCCCCCCCCTCCCCAAAGTATGAACTGAGCAGATGGTTGTTGCAACAGTTGTCAGCTACACATACCTTCATAGTTCACTTGGCCATCACCATCAATGTCAGCTTCCCTGATCATTTCATCAACTTCCTCATCTGTTAATTTTTCACCAAGATTTGTCATGACATGTCGAAGTTCAGCAGCACTAATAAATCCATTGCCATCCTTATCAAAGACACGGAATGCTTCTCGAATTTCTTCTTCACTATCAGTGTCTTTCATTTTCCTTGCCATCATGGTGAGGAATTCAGGGAAATCAATTGTGCCATTGCCTGAAAGAGAAAGAAAAAATTTTGATTGAGATTACAATACAAATTTTAAAATTTGGTCCAAACAAATTTTCTTCAAGTTCGCATGTCAGATAACCAAAAACTTGGAAGCCCTGAAAAATCATGGATAAAAAACAACTAGATGCTTGTATGCTTCAAGCACAAAAGTACCCACATCATTTGAGGTAGTCTGTTCTGGTATAAAAGCAAATAAAATTATGAAATATCAATATATCCATTTCTTACCTGTGGAAAGAGCCCCAAAACACCACTCATCACAAGACTTCTCATACACACAAGATGCAAACCAGCAAGAACAATTAAAGCCTCACGACAGATCATCCTAACAACAGAAGAATACTTCAAAAGATGAAAAATCTGTCGGAAAAGCTAAGGCTTGACAAACAATAGCTTTTAAGGATACAAAATAACACTTTATCAGAGATAGAGGTGCCATTTAGAATCGAAAAAATAAATCCTGAACTGTTTCCACTCTGTGGAAATGCACGCACGGAGAAAAAACTTTTCATTCATACATTGTTTACCACATTTTCTATCAAGAAGTCAGGGAAAATCCAGATTTTCAGCACCTCTGGTTGAACAGTAGACTAACAGTACTATAGATTTGACCACTTGGAGAGATCTGCGAATCTGTAGAATGCTGACAGTGCAAGCACTGAATATTACTGAACAGCATGGGAAACTATTCTCTCTCTGCTAATTTGAATTTTTACCCTATTTCAAATGTTTTTGACAAACTATATATAATTATATCTTGAAAACAGTATATGTGTGGTGACAAGCTTGGTTCAATTCTGAGCAGGGGAACTTAAAAAGTAAAAGGGTCCAACTGGGAATGGTGGTGGTGGGGGAAAGAGAACAATTACTGCTGTTGAATAAACTGTTGATCCTAACCTGAAACTTTACTGACACACAGACAGCAAGCACATCTTTTAACTGCAAGCTATCTTAACAGCACCAATTCACAAAAAGTGTTAGAAGTCCAAGCAAATAAGTGCAACCCCCCCCCCCCCCCCCAAGACAGATAACTAACCACTGTCATATTTTCTACACAAAATTAACCTCTGAAATTGCGAAAACTTCCAAACTAAACGGCGTACTCTTAAAGAGACAATAATTTATTTAAACAGCATGAGATTACAAGAGTCCCCTTCAACTGAACAGGGTTAATCCACACATACACACACCAATATGCTTCCCGAGAAGCTGAGAATGTTTCGGAGTGTTCTATGGTCTGCTGGGGTAATAATATAGTGTAAAGCGCATAGAGCCTGCTGTTGAGCGGGGAATGCGCTATACAAATGCTATCTATTATTATTATTATTAATAAAATAATAATTTTTTTAAATTTAAAAAAGCAGCGGTAAAGCACACCAAAAAATCTGCAGGTCCCCAGTTTTGGTTTAATTAAAAGTTACTCCACTTATAGTTTAAGTCAACTCCACTGAGGCTGCTGTTATTAAGTAAACTACAGACATTTTGAGTTTGCTCCCATGCCCAGGGTGAGTCATAATCATAAAATCACCATTTTCCTATAATTTGTCAAGCTTGCCCTTTGTACGTGTGTATGTATATGAAGAAAATCGAACGTACGTATGAAGAAAATCGAACCAGAAGGTATATCTAGCACTGGACCCCCCCCCCCCCCCCAAAAAAAAAGTACCTCAAAGGAATTCAAAATTTGAGAGCTTCCTGAGAGCGAAAATCTCAGTTTGTAAGGGTTTGAGTGCTTAATCAGCTGCTTGCACTGTATACTTCCCGGGAAGCTGAGAATCCTTTTGGTCTGTTGTAATGTAAAACGCATAGAGTTTGCTGTCATGCAGGGAATATACGCTGTACTAAGGCTATTTTTACTATCACTGTTATCATGAAGAAATAAAATACACACAATCTGACCCCTTTTATGCTGATTTGAGGTTTCTCTGGTTTGCATTATTTCTTCAAGTTTATCTCAGTTACATTCTGTTATCAGTGCCAAAGCCTTGAAATATGAGCACAGACCGAAAAGTTCATGAATCATATTCACGTTGGTCATTTCCGCATCCCCCCTATTAACATCCCAATTATAACGTTCCTCAGTTTTACAGGCTGATTTAAAAAACCCAAACCCCTTAACAAAACGAACAGAACGGGTGGCGGCCGAAGCCTACTCTTGTTATTTTGGACCACCAAGGAATCTTTAAAGTGCACAACTTGCACATTGGACCTCCAAGACTTTTCGCCATTCCCCGAGAAGGCTAGGTGTACATCTTTCCTACCATAAAATCTGGGGTGTTGCTGAAAGATAGCAGTAAGGAGCCAAGGAGTAGTCAGAACGGCTGCAGAAAGAGTAAGGAGGCAAAGGGGGTGAAGGGGTGGGGGCAGAAAGAGGAGACGAACGCAGACGACAAAAAATGTTAGAGAGCAGGAAAGGAGAAAATTTTAGAGAAGAATTTTCCATCGCTATCCAGATTTGAACCCGGGACCATTGAATAAGAGGCGAACACCTTAACCTCTGGGCCACGAGAGCCCCAGTAGAAGACTACAGACCATTTCCTTTTAAGTACATAACTTCTCTAAAATGTTTTAGAAAAGGGGTTTTCTGCTAGAAAAGAGAAAATCTAGAAAATGACTTGAATTCCATTCAACACGCAAATACAAGAATTGCCACTTTAGGTATTATCATTAGAAGTGAGCATCCCACCTGTCTCAGATAGGGTTTTTTCGTTTGTTCCTTGCACTCTACTTTTAACATAGTTTCAAACCCCGTACTCGTGACACAAGTCATGCTGCAACCAGAATTTTAATACAAAATATATGCAGACTGGCTGGTCTGAGTCTGAGCTGATTTTGCTTGAAATGTTAAAATTGGTTCATCAAAATTCAATACTGCCTTGCATGTTCTTTGGAAACTTCTGCTCATTTCACTGCCGTGTTTTAAGGTACATTATTTTTTCATATCATGAAAGAAGTCTTGCTGTACACTTGAGTTTTAAAAAAAAAAGAAAAAAAAAAGGAAGCTGTGTGTGAGGTGGCAGTAGTAACTGGATGTGCGCTTGAAGTGCATAACTACATCCGTTTTTTTAAAGAAATATTTCTTTCATTGGCTCAGGCTATAACCCATAATACAAAAGAGAGGGAATTACAGCTATAAACCCATAATACAAAAAAGCAGGAATTACTAACACCTTGTCAAGCTAATGTTTGCCTTCTTCAATGTAACTTATGTTTTGCTAAGGGGAAAAGTGACTTTAAAGGCTCTATGCACAAAGGGTTTTCAAGTTCGAGCAGCATGCATTTGACATAGTAACGTATATTGGTGGGGAAGTTGATTGTTTTCTTCCACTAAACACCACACCAGGAGGGTGGAGTAGCTGAACTACAAATGAATTTTCTAAAACTAGAATAGGGGATATTACGATCATATTTTTATTTTCATAAAATTGAGAGAAAAACAATTGCTGTGATTCAGCTTAATTCGCAAGGATCACATTGATGAGATCGATACTGGAGGCAAATGTTATTCCCACTCTTGAGAAAATACTAAAAACTCGCGTAGTTGGCCTAAACGCATGCCACAAATGGAACAAATTTCCAGCCAAAGTAAATGTGTCATGACATGGTGGAATCAGGCGCTTAATTTTTGGGCATTTGGGGTTATCATTTGCCTTCCTTTTGGAGAAAAAATATCCATCTATGTTGAACAGACGTCAAAATATTTGCGATTGAAGGAGGTCAGGGTCGCCTGGTTTCAGAAGTAAAATTAGTGAGAAAACGACCCCCAAAGTTTGGAAACTGACAATTTACCTATTATATTGAGCCTTTAATCTATGTCTTCCAGTAAAATCCACACAAAAATGTTTTTTAATGGACACAAAAGGTGTTGAGGGGGGAAAAGAGAAAAAATTAGAACCCCCCCCCCCAATTTCTTTCTTCATTTCATTATTTTCACTGGCACCTGATTAACAAATGTTTACTTTCGCCATTTGCAAAGAATTCTGTAAGCTATACTTTAAGTGGGGACTCTCGTGGCCTAGAGATAAGGTGTTCACCTCTCATTCAATAGGTCCTGGGCTCGAATCCTGATAGCAACAGAAAATTTTCTACTTTCACATCCTCCTTTCCTGCTCTCGAAAAATGTTTTCATCTGCTTTCATCCCCACTTTCTGCCCCACCTCTTCAGCACCCTCCTCTGGGCTTCTGACTCTACTGATTCTCCTTGGCTCCTTCTTACTGATGACTGAGGTCTTTCGACCACACCCTTAATCTTATGGTAGGTAAGATCTACACCTAGCCTTCACAGACAAGGGCAAATTTAAATCTCTGAGGTCCGGTGCGTAAGTTACACACGTTAAAGATCCCTAGGTGGTCTAAAATCAATAAGAGTAGGCTTTGGTCACAACCGGGGCAAAATTCAAAATTTCCTACCAACGAAAAGTTGGTGTGTCCTGCACTCATACGACCTTATAATGCAGTTGCGAGCGCCTTAAAACACTTACCAAAAAAACCCCAAAAGTGTTAATTTGTTAATAAAATGTAGCCAGTAGAGCTAAAATGGAATAAATTCCAAAGAGACTTATTCTCTCATCTTCAAAGCCAGATCTCTCAACCAGACCTCTTTAAAATGGATTGGGACTTAAATCGGCTGATCCATTACTGTTTCAGTAACTTAGAAAAAACTTTACTATTCAGCTATACATTTTAACAGGAAATCAAGATGAGCATGGCTCTCTCAGGGACATGAGAGAGATGAAGCAGTGAAGCTCACTTGGAACGAGCTTGGAAGGATAGCCCACGACAGAGATAAATGGAAGGAGCTTGTATGTGGCATATATACCATACCAGCGGTGAAAGGCATTGATGATGATGGTTCTCGCACACACACACACGGGGGGGGGGGGGGGGAGATAGAGCACCCATATATATTTATGAGAGCATTTAATTTAGAAAATTTCATTCACAGTACAGAAAACTACTTTTTCCAGTTCTTTTGTCACATCAATCCGTCTCTTTTTTTAAAAAAAAGTGCTTTAACTTTAAGGCGCTCGAAACTGCATAAGGTCATACGAGTGCGCAAGACACATTAAACATTTTCAGTAGGTGGGAAATTTTGAATTTTGCCCAGGTGGCGGCCGAAGCCTACTCTTATCGATTTTGGACGACCAAGGGATCTTTAACCTGCACAACTTGCACAGAACCTTTAAGATTTTTCGCCATTTTCCGAGAAGGCTAGGTGTAGATCTTTCAGGCATAAGATCAGGGGTATGACTGAAAGACAGTAAGAAAGAGCCAAGGAGTAGCAGTAGAAAGGCTGCAGAAAGAGTCAGGAGCCCAGAAGAGGTGAGGTTGAGGGGGCAGAAAGTGGACGTGAAAGCAGACGACAGAACATTGCTACAGCAGAAAAGGAGGTGAAGGAGACAATTTAAGAGAAGAAAAATTTCCGTTGTCATCCGGATTCCATCCCAGAAACTTATCGAATGGCCACAAGACCCCCGACATCAATCTGTAACATTATTATTTAGTTATCAACACTATTTTTATGAAAAGGCTCCTGATGATTGATAATACCAACTACACTTTTTTCCCCACAAAGAACTGAATGCACTATAACTACTTGCAACAGGGCAGCAACATGCCGAAGATTAGAGGTGTTAAGTTACAAGAGAATAAACAACAAAAAAGAGATAGACAAGGACAGACAAATGTTTGTGGGAAAGAAAGACATACCACACCAAAGACCCTCCAACCACCCATGCACTGAACTACTATTGTGCACTGACTTCTAGAAAGAGAGAAAGTTGGCCCAAACAATTGAATATCTATCCATGTACTATATTACAAAGACGCCTCTTCTCTCAAAAGTACAACTTATGATTACTGTCCCCTTTTAACTCACTGAAGACAGGTCTCACAAGGCGCACAACCCCTGAAGACAGGTTTTTTGTGTGGTATTAAAAAAAATCATAATAACTCTACTTAGAATTGTTCAATTGCTCTGACCTTTTCACATAAGTAAGAAACATTTGTGTTCTTTCAAATAAACAAATTGGAATGCTGTATCTTTTAATACCTAAAAAAAAATAATCAATTTTGGTTTTCTCTAGAATTTTTTACAGTTTTACTTTCCCTTTCCTCAAACCAGATCTACTTACACTACTAAGTTACACCTTTACTAAAAGAAATATCACTGTCAGGCCTTTTGCGCCTCTCAGGCCCACTCTGGATCATTAGGATCGCTAAGTTCACTTTCTGATAAACTAGACTCATTGAAAACATAAAAAATGTTGCTAGGTTTGCAGCGTACACGTACTCTCGAAGTCTGCATGGGGGCAGCCATTTTCCCTAGAACTAATGTTGACATCACATCCCCTAAAAGTTTGTACTAAAAAAAGTTCTACCCTACTTCCGTCAAACTTCGCATGAAACGAAAGAAATGGATGAACTAGCGCTGACGACGATTCTTGAAGCGCTCTCATGATTACGAAAAGTGCGAAAAAAATGATAAAGCTGGTCCCGTGGGGGTCACTGGATCCGACGTCAGAGGGTAATCGGCCAGTCCCGAGAATGTATCGGGATACGCCGTCAGTGAGTTAAAATAATAAAAAAATATTTAGATAATCCTATTCTTATCAAAGGTGACCAAATTTGAATCTAATATAGGCTCATGTATAGCTTACAACAGCCTGAAACCTTTCAAGATCCACTCTATTCAGCATGAAACAAAAAGTAGCCAAATATTATATTTTGCTTGATGATACCTCGTTAAAATTTCTCCCCAAAATAAATCAGATACAAAATCCTATCCAGTTTGTTTTCGTTTTAACAAAGTCATTTTGATCTATCCATGCAAATGGTTGGTTGTGGCATTGCAAGTGAGTAAAATGACTTTTAATGACATAACTGAACACTTTTAACAAGCAGAATGAAAGGGGAAGGTATGTCTTATACACGGGAGGGCACGCGCCGGCAATTTTGAAGGAAAAATAAAGAGTTTTTTCCTTTGCTGATTCAAGAAAATAACTCTGCAAGATACCATTCAGAGTGACAGTAAGGTACTGGAAAAAACCCAAAAAAACAACCTTATTAAACCCCCTACGATATAGGGTGAACTATCTGGAATTTCTCCCCACACTTGAACATGAACCTACCATCAGCATCCACCTCATTGATCATGTCTTGCAATTCAGCCTCAGTAGGGTTCTGGCCTAAGGAACGCATGACAGTTCCAAGTTCTTTGGTTGTGATGGTGCCATCTCCATCTTTATCGAAAAGACTGAATGCCTCTTTGAACTCTGTATAGGAAAGAGAAAAAAATATAATTGTACACTTCAAATTACTAAAGCACACAAGGTGGACATCTCTAAACAGACCAATGATGACCAGACTTAATGATCCTGTACTAGATCTAGCTGATATTGCTTTATTTTATGAGACTATTCATTCTTCAACAAGTAATTGGTTAAGTTTTTACACTTGGGAATGCATTGATCTATATTTTTAAAACCATCATTTACAAAGTGTAGTCTACCAAATAACTTTTAAACTAAAACCCCCCCAAAAAATCTAAACCCTGAAATTACATTTATTTTGAAGTTTTATAGTCATATTTTGGAATATTAAATTCTCTTTAACAGCTCAGTTTAACATTTGATTTTTTTTATAGCCAATTATTGTTTTTAAAAAGTAATTAGGTGAATTAACATGGTCAAAAGTTGGGAGTATTTCTGTACAATCATAGTAGGCCTACTTTGTCCGATTATTACAATGGAACTTACCAGCAATCTGCTCTTCTGTTAATTGGTCAGCCTGAAAATATGAAAGCAAAAAATTGTCATGTAGGTATCGGAGTAAAAAGTAAAATTATTAAGGGAGGGTAAGGGGTTTACACAACCAGCTTTAACAGTAAAAACAGAACAAAGTTCATACTGGTAGCCTAATTAACTCGTTCATAGTCACTTCTCTTCAAACTGATTAGACTAGAAAAACACTACCCTGCAGTTTATAACTGAGAGGAATGTAATGGATCCCTCTTCAATGTTCAATAGACCTAATGTTGGACACTGATTCGTGGTAAGATTTAGTAGGCCTACAGATCTAGATCTAGACTAGATTCTAGGCCTAAAAGGTTAGAAAGTCAATTTATGGTACAAAAAGTGTAACAAGTCTATCGATGCACTTTTATACACAACAGACGGTTTCATAATTTGCTGACATAGAATCTAGATTTAAATCTTTAATGATTAACATTGTGGAACCAAACCCTGCACTGAAACACCAACTTGTATTGTCCAACTATCATGAGTTCATGAGCCTAATGATTTAAAAACAGGTAGCCTACATATATGTACAGTATAATGTCAAGAACAGGGCTCACATTGAAACCATGCCATCAGCTTGGATGTCTTATAAAACAGGCAAAAACAACTTAAGAGGTAAAAGGACCAGCACTGGGACTACACTGTTACATCACTGTACTGATCAAACCACTTTTTCAACAAGCTGAATAGATCTAGAATCTGGCTTGATGAAAGAACAGATTTGTGTTACAAAGTGGACCATGCCACAGATCTAGATATGGAAATATCTTGATCTAGAATCTAGTTAGATCTAGATCTATGCCTATATAGTAGATTCTAGATCTAAGCTAGGTTCCTGCTTTTCAGTCAGAGACAGTTTGAAACTTTCAAGGAATTAAAAATAGACCGGTTTCATACACAAACTTCAAAATGACAGACCTAGAATCTAGACTCCAGATGTAACTCTAGATTTATATTATCTAGTATCTAGATCTAGAACCTCCTTAACTGAACCCATTAAGAGATATTCGGTAGCCTACTGTGGTGAAGTAGGCCTAGGCTTAATTAAAGCAGTAACATACTCTCAAACTAATCAATTTGAAAACAGATCAGTGCCTGCTGTCTGAACCTAAAACACGATCTACACAATCTATGTGTAGATCTACATCAAAAACTGTAAGGAAGGAGTAGCCTAGACTTGTTCAGGTTGAGTCTTGGCAAACATAGATAGATGTGCCTAGGCCCTTATCTTAGATTAGAAATATGAAAAATAGATTCTAGACACCGTCAACAAGCAAGGGATCGTCAATGGCATTTTACGTTCAGGCTGCGGTACCAAGAGGTGCTTTTTCAGTAGTTCCCACCCCCTTTATTTGTGCCTAGATCTTCTAGATCTAGATCTCTCTCTAGATTCTAGAATCTAGACCTATACGTTTGATGCGCGGCGAGCTAAGATATCAAACCTAACAACTGCAAAACAGTACGTTAAGGTAGAATTTAGGG